TCTTTTTGGTCTATCATAATAACGGTCTTCCTTATAATCCATCAGCATCTCAGCCGCAGTCGAGTTTATTTCCCTTTTTTCCGCTATGATAATCATCCTTATCTTCCTCGTCATCTTCGTATTCAACTCATTTCCTACTTTACCCTCATCATTATCTATCTGAGACTCCGATTCTTAAATCATGTTTACTTGGAAATCCTCTCAACAGAAAGAGAAACATTTTAACCATCGATCCTTCATTCGTCTTTATCATTATCATCTTTCTTCATTCTCTCTCTCTCTCTCTCTCTCTCTCTCTCTCTCTCTCTCTCTCTCTCCATCTCCTTTTCTCTTCTGTCTATGCTTCTTTCTTGTCCTTTTCTTGTCTCTTTTCCATCTCTTCATCTTCGTCACTCTTTTTTCCTTTTCTCTTTCTCTCTCTCTCATTCTCTCTTTCTAACATAGCATCATCATCCTTTGTCCTCCATCTTTCATCATCTTATTCGTGGTTTTCATCCTTCTCCCTTCACCGATCTACCTCCCTCTTTTATTCTTTACTATCACACTTTCTCTCCTTTTTTATATAAACTTCTCATCTTTCATCCATCATCATATCTTCCACCACACCCCCACCTCTCTCTCTCTCTTTCTCTCTATTCATGGATATCCTCACAATCTTTCACAGATCATTTTCTAGTTATTCCAACCTATTCAATACACATAAACATCCATAAACACATATACCAGCACACACACTTTCTCTCTCATACACTCAACATATTGAAGCTTTATCATGATATTGTTGTTGTTGTCATGATATCACTTTATATTATACCAATTTCCGAAGCATATTTATCACAACACCTTAGATATAAAAAAAATTATCATGTATTCCTTGTTGATGTCATTTTCTATCAACCATAATGATGTTAATGTTTTCTTACTCTATCTCGTTTTATTTTTCAATATTTCATTTTTACCTGGAAGTGAAGAAATTATTTCTTCAGAAACAAGATTCCAATTTTTCATTATCATGAACATTTCATGTCATGGTAGAAAGAGATTGAAGAAAAACTTATCCAATAGATTCCCAACTTTACCCTGAAAACATTTCCGTCCCAATTTTATCCTATTAACTTTGTAATTATCAATAGTTAATCAACAATCAATTTTCATTCATGTTTCCAAAATGTTGATTGTTTTTTTTCCTACTCAGCTGAATCAATGTAAATACATGAATGAAAAAATTGTTTCAAGTAAACTGTTTACCTTAATTATCATGAATATCATCATGGAAATGATGATATTTTTTTCTCACGATAATCATTAATATCCAAATGCATTTCACTGACTAGTATTAACTAATTAGTATCAATTGAATCATTGATGTTAAGTATCACCAGGTAACTGGTTTAATTTTACACAAACAATTTGTAACTTTGGCCTTTGCCTAAAAAAATGTTTCTCATTTTGATTCTAATATCATTGATATAATGATGATGATAATCATCATCATGATAACTATTACTTTAATTATCATCATTATGATGATGATAATGATGATAATATTTCAATGTCTTGAGGCTTATCCAGGAAGCTAATACAATTTTGTCCTGGTTATCTAATATTTTATCATCTTGTTGATACTTTTTTTCACCTCTCAATTTAAACCTGAACAGTAAAAAAGAGTTAATGAAATTGATTGTCAATTTAATTACAATTAACAATTTAACTTCATCTTGATTGAGCAAACAACCATTTAGGAAAATGTTTCCATTATTTACTTATGACATCAAATTCAATCTAATAGTATTTGAAATTGCTTTTAATCAGTCACAATTAATTAATTGCTGTATGCACAATGATTTCATTATTAATTGTCAAAGAGTGAGAGAGATAAAATTAAATTAATGGTCAAACATTTAAAATTAAATTCACTGACAATACATTTTAATATTCATAATGTACAGTTAACTTTTTTTTCATATTTGTTGCTGATAAAATCTTTCTGTTTGTAATATTATCATGAAAATATTACGACAGTTAATTGTAATTGAAAAGTAAACAATTAAAATTGAATTGCATTGGTAAATCCTATTAGTTTAAATCATTAATTATTTTGTGTGTCGTCTAATTTTCCCATTTTTATTTCCTTCAGAGGAAAGAGTAAAATTTTTACTATTAATTTAAATTGAAGATCATTGATCATATTCACCATGATTCAGTGAGATTCATGATTTTATTTCCCTTTTAATCTGTTGTATTGATTATTTCAAGGTAGAATTTATTTCTTCATCAATTAATTAATGGAAAAAGTTGCAATTTCTTTAATTTGATAAATGTAAACAATCAAACCAATGAAATAGCCAAATTGTTATTTGTATGATTTCATTTTAAAACTAATCAGTGTACATAAATTGTTTACAATTAATCAAGTTGTCAGTTGATGTTAAGATGAAGGAGATTGTTTTTCTTTCAAAAGTAACCATGCAAATCTAGTTATGATTAGATTGTTGATTAACATGATGACAGAAAAAATTAGCATCATAGAAGATGAAAGTGAAAAGATGAATTTACATCAAGCTCAAAGTGATACCTGTTTACTTTCATGAAGAAAATCATAACAATTGTAATTGAGATGATGATGATTTACTAATGATTACAATGATGATGATGATGGTGATTATGAGTTGACCATGAATGATGTTCATTTTTTTTTCCAGTTCAAAAACTACATAAGATGAATGACTTTTTAAATTATCAACAGATTTGAATGACCATCATATTTATTGTCTGTTTAGTGTGAATGATGATCATGATTATCATTTAATAATTGATTCTGATAGGATAATCAGAATAAACTAATTCTGTTGGTGATTTAATTTCCAATCTAAATAGTGGTAACATTTGATCAATTACCATATCATAACTAACCAGTTTATCGTTGAAGGTTTCAATTGTACTTATGTATTGTAATTGCTTAATTGTGATCATTATTACATATACAATTATACAATTAGCTACATCCCTTTTAATTTAATTGTCGAGGTAAAGTTGTCAGAAAAAGAGGTTAATTCAATTTGAAGTGAAAATCCATTATCTTATTAAGTTAATTACACTAATTACTAATTAAGGAAGGAAAAGATTATTAATAATAAGAATTTTTTTTCTCAATATTCTCGATAATATTGATTCTCTTTTCGTTCCTATTTAATTCAAGGTTTTTACTCTTAAATTGTAGCATAAATTATCAAGTTAATTGTTACCTTTAAGCTTTTCGTTAATTAATACTTTGTTTATTGTTGAATTCTCACCGTTGCAATGATTTACTTTTGACATATCAAATTATCACAATTGGGAATAAAACGAGAGCTTGAAAATGAAAGAATTGACAATAAATGAACCTTATTGCTGTTCAGTAATCATTTCATGATAACATTCAGTCTTATTAATGATCATTATTAATATTCAATCAACCTGAAAAATACTCAGTCTACCTTTAGATCATCTTAGAACTTTTTCTCTCTCTCTCTTTCATCATTTACTTCACTTTCCTTTGACGTGGTTTGTGACTCTTTTTTTTATATACATCACCATGCTACATGGTGATTCTGTAGAGTAAAAAAAAGGTTTATCTGATTTGGAGGTTCAGTGTTGTTGTTGTTGTTGTTCATTGAATTGAACTTTTTTCTCCTATTGCTTGGAACCATATCCGATTATCTGATTGTTATTGGTCTCATTTCATATTTTCCTTTTCAGGGGCTATTAACGTTTCATCATCTTCCTTGTTGTTGACCGTTATATTTATCAATCATAAGGTGGAAGATGAAAGTTCACAAGAGAAAAAATATTTAGAATTAGTTTTTGAGAAAACATTTCAATAAAATCGATACAAGTTATTGACTATTAAGTTAAATTGTTTAAAATGTTCTCAGAGAAAAATAAAGTTCTGTTACAATTGATTAACCCTAAACTTTATCATGAAACAAATGGGTATTAATGGTCATCAGGGAAAAATAATATCCATTGAAATGACATAATAATATAATACCAGTGAAAGTCAATGTAAACAATTAACAAGTTGAATTTAGTTTACTATTGGGTTTCAATGTAAATAACAATTGATGATAATGATTATTGAACTTTTGTTTATTGTGTTCATCAAAAGTTATATATATTATTTTCACCTTAAATTGTTAATTGGATCATGTTGATTGTTGAAATACTATCACCATTGGTTTCTGCTTTAAATTAATGGCTTGTGGCTTCTGTAATAATAATCTTTACAACTTTTCTCATTTTCTGCTGATAATATTGTTACTTTTTTCATTATCATTATCATGAAAATCATGATGAGAGATAAAATAAAAATGTTATATCAGATATAATTGGTTATCTGGTAATATAACGGTACAAAAAGTTTCGCTTGACTCCTTGTATTAGTATGATAACTATTACTTTCTTGTTATATCTTTTTTTTTTGGTTATTCTTGTTATGTTTTTTTATTTGTTATCGTCATCATCTTGTTTTGGTTCAATTTACCTTGTCAGGTTCATCAATTTCATTAGTTACAATGATATTTTTATATATAAATATCTTTATGTTTACGTGCCAGTCAATGGATAACAATTAGATTGAACTTTGATAGTGTGGTTATGATTTAGTATCAAAGCCTCTGATTTCTTAATGATGATTAAAGGTCCAATGGTCATTCCAATTGAGAGTATAATCAGTTTGTAGTGACCATTGTTTACATATAAATGTATCTACATATACACGGTGTCCACTTTGTCCATTTGTAATATTATGATTAGTGGTCAGTTAATTTTTCTTGTTTATTTCTCTTCATCTGATTAAATATTTAATCTGTCTTTTTATACCTTAATCATAATGTTGATTAGTTTTATAATGTGACAAAAGTAATGTTGATATTTTGTTTTTACTCTATTTTCACTGTAATTTTGTTACATCATTTAATCAATTAACTTAATTTGTTTTCTTAATTTTCTTTTTCCACCAGAGACTCAATGAAGTTATTGAAGATCCTAAATCATGTTGTGTTGGCCTAATGGATATGAACATGAACAAAAATCGTTACGATTTTATTATACCTCGTAAGTTAATTTGACTCAATTTTCTTGATCAATTCAAAATAGTTAAATATTAATTAGTCAATTATGATGATTCCTATTGATTGTTTATCTTATTTAAACTTTTCTTTTTTTTTCTTAGATGATATTAATCGAGTTATTTTACCTCCATTACCTACAAAGGAAAACTCGTCTTATATCAATGCCTCATTTGTTCAGGTAAATTTTGAATTTCTTTCCATTCTTGAGATTAATTGTTGTCCTCATTTCTTATTTATGTATTTATCTATTTTGCCCTTAGGGTTATGATCGTTGTTTATCATTTATTGTTACACAAGATCCACTGGACACAACGGTGCTGGACTTTTGGAGGATGATATTGGAGCAAAATGTTAGCATATTGGTCATGCTTTCGGAACTTGGTGATGGTCAATCAAAGTGTTACTGTTACTGGCCAAAGACAGAGACAGTTTTTGATTATGTTAAAATTATACCTGAAAGTGAACAAGAATTGGACAATTATATGATTAGAAAATTTTATGTGGTCAATACAAAGGTTGGTGGTCAAGGATTAAAGTAGCTGAAAGTGATTAATAACAGAGGAAACTAATTACTAGACTGTTCAACCGAAAAAGTTAATTGTAAACAATTAGGATTTGTTATATTGTAACAACGGGGTTTGAATGGGAGATTATGACAAGTTTAATTGTATAAATAATCCTGTTGTTGTTGTTGGTTAAGTTGATTAGAATTAGATTTTCAGTTGAAAATGATCAACGTTTATTGTTGATTAATAAGGATGATTTAAAAGGAAAGAAAAGTTTTACTACATTTAATTTAGTAGAAAAAGTTAATTGATGCAGAAAAGAAAAAAAATTTTCAAGTTAATTTGTGTTGTAACAATTACTACGATAAGACAAGTGAGAAGGTGTAGTAAATTGTAATTGGTTTAATTGTGATTGAAGAAACAAAAAATTAAGTTAATGGTGAATGAGCTTCGGCTGAAAAAAATTGACTTTAAAATCAAAAACACTAATCACAATTAGTTTTATCCTTTTAACTGGGTTGGATTAGTGTTGTGTGATTAACTCACGTTCACAAATTGTTAATACATTGCTTCAAATTAATTTAACTTTTATTTTGAACTTTGTTAAAACTTAATTTAACTCAATTAAATATCAAATCAATTGATTCAGTTAACGTAGTATTTTTAATAATAGTAAAAGGGTAACAATCAATTTACTATCACAAGGTTAATACAAAAAAAAATTAGTTGAAACATTTAACTTGTCACAATTTTTTTATCTCTTCTCATTTAGTTAATTGTTTCTAAATTATTTTCCAACTTTCAGCTATTTATATTTAACTATGGGTTCGATTGGACTATTGATTGACTAATTTGTTTTCTTTTTCTTTTCTTCCAACAGAATAATGATTCAGTTCAATTGACTCAATATCATTTCATGTTATGGCGAAGTGGAGTTGTCCCAGAAGCGACTTTACCTATTCTGAAATTGATTGAGGTCACCCTTTCCTCTAATTCCTCATCCTCATCTCCAATCGTGATCCATTGTTCGGGCGGAGGTGATAGGTCAAGCCTTTTCGTTACTTTATCTTCATTAACCCAACAGATTCGGACTGATGGACGAGTTGACATTTTCCAAACCGCTCGATATACACGATCTCAAAGGCCTTGTATGCTTCAAACAATCGTACGTGTTGATTATAATTACTGTTCATCTTTAGTAAATCACGAAATGATTTCAACTAATTTAATCAAATTGTTATTAATTTTCTTTCTCTCTCTCTCTCTCTTGTCTCTTTACAGGCACAATATGATTTCATTTATCGAAGTCTAATAGATTTCATTGATTCACACAATCTATGTGATAATATGAGTGACACACAATTATGACATTGTCACAATTATATTATCACTTATAAATAGGATCTTTTTATTATTATTATAAACAATTAACTTTTTAAATCGGATACACTAAACCTACTCAATCACTCACTCACACACACACAATCAAACTGAACCAAGGAAAACATTATATCATTAACTATCATGATCATAATCAAAAGGTGATGAAATGAAAAGTTGATTGATAACAATTATGGCAATAATAATTACCATGAGACTGAATTAATGTGAAACCAGAGCAATTAAAAGTACTGATAATAATGATAATGTTGGTTAAAAAAAAACAATGGACACCAATTTATATTATCTAAATATATTACCAAGGGAAAAACTGTATCTCCATGAAGCAAGAAAAAAAAACATGAAAAGGATCATGATCACAGTGATGAAGGATAATAGACTGACATTTTAACAACAATTGGATTATGATGATGATTATCTCATTGATTGAAAAGAAAAGAGAAAGGAATAACATGGCAATTAGATTATAACAATCAGTTAATTGTTCCAGTTTTACTAGAAAAAAAAAACTATTCATATGCTCAAAAACAAAAACAACGGATCCAACAAACGACAAGTCTACAATTTTTTTACGATAACTATTGTTTTCTCAATAGTAAAAGATGAGCGAGCAGAGAGAGAGAGAGTATCAACTTCTCTCTCATTCACTATCATCCTCATCTTCATTCACACAATTATCAAGCTTAATTGTGCTTCTTTTTTCCCAGTGAATATGAGAAACAATTGTAATCCTTTTTTTTATTAACCCGGAAAAAAAACACGAAACTAAACCTTTCCTCCCATTTCCTCATCTTCTCATGACGATTTCCTCGACGCAATTTATACCACCTCCTTTTAATTGTTATTATTAAGACGAAGATGAAAAGAATCTAATTATATTTATGTAATAATCAATACGATTAATAATTAATCTAATTATATATTTGTACAGAAGCCAATGTGCAATCTTTTTAGAGTTAACTAATCACAAACCCTAAACTTTTTTGTTTCCTTGTGCCAATTGAACATTGATTTGTTTTTTGTTATATATTATGAAAACCTACCGACAAATGATTTAATTTGATTGTCAGAAAGAGCAATTGTATAAATTGTATTAATCAATCGTTTTTACCACAACAATTTAACTCTCTGATCAACTAATTGCTTTCAACAGCAATAATACAACAATAACCTTAACTAATCAATTGTAATAAACCCAATCAATTTAAGTTTCTCTCTCTCCTCTTTCAATCATGTTAATCATTTATCATCAAACAACATCATCATTTTTATTATTAAATTGAACAATTAGACGAATTAAAAACAAAACAAAATTGAAAATAATTAACTTGACAATTTACTAATTTGGGAACAATTTTATTTCCTCATTACCTTGATTGTTAATTGTTTGGAAGGAAAAAAAATTCAAACATTCAAAATCGATACAAAATCTTTTCGAAGGATTTGAAAATTTTAATTGTTACCACAATTAATTAACCATTAATACTTTTCTGCTAATTGCTTATTAATCTCCCAGTTTTAATTGTTTGAATTGAATATTATATTTATTGATTAGTTCTTACAGTTAATAGTAATAATTAATTATTGATTCAATTGATTGATTTTCGTTTTCGTTTGTTGGTCTTGATTGTTATTGGAAATTAATTACTAGTTAATTAATTGTGTCATTCGTATTGATTGCAATTGTTATATTATTAAGATTTTAATTAGTTCATAGTTTTGATTTTTTTTTACACTTTAATTGAGCTAATTTTTAATTGTGTGTGTTTATTGTTTTACAATCAAAATCGCAATTGTAATTGCAATTAAAATATATATAAATGTTGATATTATGATGAGAATTGAAATGATATTAATTATATGATCAACTTTAAATTAAGAGTAACAATTAACAATGAAAAGGGAAAATAATTTATGACTAAATTATTTAAATTAAATTAAAAACAATTAAAGGACAACAGGTTTACAATTATCAATTGATGGAAACACAATCAAGTTAACAATTAAAATAGAAATTAAATTAAGAGGAAGAATTAAAAATTAACTTCAATCTCGATAAATACAATAATATTATCAATGAATTACTGATGAATTAGGTGACAATTAAGTCAATCACAATTAACCCAATAAAAGTATCAGCAGTTAATTATATGCAATCAGATTAATTGTTAAAATTAATCGTTGTTTTTTCATTTTCTAGTGTTTCAATTAAAAGCAATTAGTTAATATAAGTTACAAATTTGTTTTTCTAATTACAATTACAATTAATATATCTTTTAAAATAGTTTTTGTTGGATTTGAAATTGCAAAAAAAAACGCAAGTAATTAGTTAATTAACAACCAAACCATGTGATCATCGTCATCATCATTATTACAATTAAAAACGATGATGAAAATAATCATAATCATCTATTTATGTATTTGATTATTGTAAAAAAAGGGCAATCATCAGGCAGGTTAACCTTTTAAATTGAATTAACTAATTGTTATCATTTTTAGTATAATCATTTGTTTATCATCATCACCATAATTAGATGTTAGTAATTGTAATTTTAACCTAACGGTAATTTTTGCTAATTGTCAAATGATGATGATGATGATTGTAAATTGTTTCAACAAGCTAATTGGCATTCAAAGGTAATTGATGATAATCTTAATTAGTTAGTTAATGAGTTTCGTTGTTTGTTGATTGTTGATGTTTGGGTGATGAGTGCGTGTGTGTTTCGGTGTTGGCTATTGGTTGATTCGCGTTTTCATGACTAATAATCAATTGCACAAAATTGTAAACGACAAAATGATTAGAATGACAATTTGAACTAAAAATCGAAAGGGAAAATCAAAATTCTCGAATTGATGAGGAAGAAAAGAAGAGAAGGAGAATGAGAGAAATGATAAAAGATGATAAGATGGACATTCGGGTTTTTTGTTTTCTTTTTCGATTTGTTTGCCTCTCTAGATTTTCATCTTTGGGTCAAAGTTTTTACAAGCAATAGCGGCGACTAAGGCAGCACCTCGACCTGACCCATCTTCGGACAACATGAGGTCAAATGGAAATCTGCACAAATCTTTGATCTTTTGTTCAACTCGTTTCCGGAAGAAGGGGTGAAATCTCATTACTGACCCATCGTAGCCAATGGTTGTCTTTTTTTCTCGTCCAAGACGATTGAGTACCACCGATAGTCCAGCGGCCACGAGTCTTGAGGCTCTTTCAGCGACCAGATCACAGACATGTTTCACTATATCAACATCAACCGAATCAAAATCTTTGGTCTCAATTTTGGTGAAAACTTTGTAAATTGAATCTTCTCGGCGGGAAGCGATTCGAGATAAATGTTTCGCTGAGAATCCGCCCTTGACCACCAACATACTTGGAACCGGAACACCAGGACAAAGAAGATCCTGTCGGTGAAGGTGTAAAAGCACTAGACGGGCAAGTTCACCAAGATACATACCAGAGATTAATTTCTCAAAGATCTGCATTCCCTGATTAAGTGAATTCGCGTCAACCTGACGATCGAAATCCGTTAAAATCTCATTTAACACTCCATTATCACCGAAAGCACCCCATTCACAGTTGACCGCAATTCGAGGTTTCTCATCATCACCCTTGGGCGGTTTCCATTTAGGGATTCGAGAAAGTTTCTCCATGTAACAAAGATTTGTACCCGTGCCGACAATCAGTCCAACTCTACATTCACGATTACGATGAGCACAGGACATTAAAGTTCCGGTGGTATCATTAATGACCGCAACTACCTCACACTTTACCTTACAATCACCTTTACGTTTTTCAAGTGACTCACGGAGGAGAGCGACAACATCGGCACCAACAACATCGGTACACTTGAAACCTTTAGTCCAACGGATCAGTTTAGCCGAGGCGAGTCCTTCTTGTCTCAATGGGAAACTAAAAGTAAACCCGATTGGTAGCACAGGTACCGTTATGTTTCTCGAACGGATAAACATGTAAACACAATCAGCGATTCGGTCGAAAAGATCACGACCTGAGCCAATCATTACTTTAGCGGGAATCTCACAGGTTTCCGTGTCAATTGATGCTCGAGAACCATCAAGGGCAACAGTTAACACTCGGAAATTGGTACCACCAAGGTCAAGGGCCATGTACATACCGACCTCATTACCTTTGGGAATATCTCGAACATAAGTGAGTAACATTTTAATTGTTGCATCATTCTCATTAGATAATCCTTGATTGAATTCAGTTTCCAGTAAATTCATGATGTATTTCAATTTATCGTCATTCAATTCGAGTCCTGAAGTTATTGAGTTAACTCGAGCTAATCTTTCCTCCGGTGAAAGGTCAGATTGTAATGATGGGGTTTTCGGTAGTAAAGACATGATGAAATACTTTCAATTGATTTAAATCTAATCGATTGATGATTAAAATATTTGATTGAACAATTGACAAATAAGATGGAAACCAAGTCAGATCAGATTTGTAAGAATTAACGATTTGTGAGGAGGAAGAAGAAAAAAACACCGAACAATTTGACAAAAGAAAATTAGAAACTCAAGAGAATCAAATAAATCACCACCACCACCACCACAGAAACAAAGTGATTAAAGGATTAATCTGTTCTCGTAGTGGAAATTAGAATATAAGATGAGAGGAGAAAATAAAATGATGGCCAACAATTAGTTAATTGTAAAACACTGATAGTGAGAGATGTAAATAAAGAGTGAAATGAAAACAGTTTCACTTTCCTCTCTCAAGATTAGCCCATAGAATCCAGGTCAGCCCTGCGCAGGGAGAAAGGATGGAAACATAGAAAGAGGAAGAGAAACAAATAGACAGAGAAAAATTCTGGTTCAGTAAGTGGAGATAACCCAAAAAAAGAAAAGGTGATGAAATAATAACAGGCGACTCAGTGTATAACCTTCACTTGGAACTGATGATTATCATGAATTCTGAGAGAGAGAAAGAGAGACAGACAGAGAAAGTGGAAGATAAAAGTTCTTGAATGATAAGAAAAAGGGTAAAACTGAATCTCTGGGAGGGAAAATGAAACCTGATGATGTAACAGTTATCATCCATTTCGTTTGTTGATTATTGATGATTACTCTTTGATTAAAGGGGATTATTGTTGTTAGTTACCATGTCTCATGTACAAGGCTGAATATTATTATTACATGGTAGTAATTGTTGTAATTGTTTGAATTGTTAATCATCATGAAAAAAAAGCAACTACATCCACTGATTTACTTTCATTAATCTTACCTTGACTTTTGTTGTTATATTGATTGGCTGTTGATTTGTGATTGATAAATATAAACTAATAATCAATTGATTGATTGATTGTTAAACAGTTAACAAGCTTTGAGACACTGGATTTGATTGTGTGATTTTAATACTTGTAATTTGTTGTTGTTTGTTGTATCCTGTTGGGTTAATTTGATTTGTTTGTACACGGGATTTAGTTAAAAATTGACAAAACAAAAAGACAAAAAAGAAATGGGAAATTAGGATTAATTTGGTTAATTAATTTAGACACAGGAAGGATTAGTTTGATGATTGATTATTTATAATTTTATAATGTTTACAATTTAAAGTAATTGTTCAAATAGACCGTTTAATGAAGATGAATTCATAACAGATTGGATTGTTGGATCGAGAAGCGCTTCTATGTTAATTGTGCCCACTGATGGATCGATTAAAGATGAATCAGTGTTTAATTGTTGTTGTACAGATTCCATATCAGTATTGGTTAGATTATTGGGTGTCATCAGTGTTTGGTCAATTACTGATTGTAGTGGATCGAAAAGTGATTCCACATCTCTATCAGTGTCATCTATTTGATGGTGATGATGATGATGATGATGGTGGTGGTGGTGGTGATGGTTTGAGTCTAAAATATTTTCCACTAAACTTTCCGGATGAGCTGATGTTAATTGACTCAATTCTGTATTAGAAATCATATTACTTGTAGACACTGATGGATTATTTAAAGATGAGTCAGTGTTTAATTGTTGTACAGATTCAATATTGGATAAGTTGTTGTTGTTATTAGAAGATGATGATGGAGAAGAGGTTGTCATCATGTTTTGATCAATTACTGATTGTAGTGGGTCGAAAAAGTTATCCACTGTATCTGTGTGATCTAATTGATTGGTGACTAGAATATTATCCGTTAAATTATCTGTATTGTGAACTGTTAATGGACTTAATTCTTCAGCGGCAATTATGGGACAATTGTTTGCTGCTGCTTCCAGTTCAGCTTCGATAAAATCATCGGAAACATCGAAAATGGTTGGACCAAATTTCTCTAATGTATTTATTGTTTGTTCATCACCTTCTTTAGCTGGTCTCTTTGATTTACTAAATTCTGATTCGGTATCACCAGTCTCATCAAGGCCAATCATTAATGGTGATTTACGTTTAACTCCTATTCCTCTTTGTTGAACAATGGATAATAAGAATTGGAGTAATTTCTCAACAATATGTTGTTGTTTCTGATATTGTTGCCTGAGAATTGCTATCTCTCTCCAAAGAGCTTCATTCTCTTTCTGCATTTTAACTAATATATTGTCAACCGTATCCTGTTTTCCTTTAATTGCTTTAACGTCAACCAAAATGGAACCGACATCATCATGTCTCACTTCATTCTCATCAATACTTTTAGCTGCTGAAACCTGTAAAGGTGTTTTAATCTTCCGTTTGATCAGTTCCAATGAGGCCTCTTGATCTTTAACAAAGTGAGCATGGTAAAACTCTATATCATCTCTTTCCGCTCTTAGGCCACTATTTTCAATACTGGTAATCTTACGAAATCCGTACATATTTAACTGCCTTATAAAACTGGCCATGTTGTTATGCTTAAAGTATAAGGGAAGCAATTCCTTAGCAAATTGTGCTTGGTTACTGATGACAAAACTTTTACCATTTTGAGACCAATGAATTAGATTATCATAGTTTGGATCTTCAACCAATTTCCATAGTTTTGTTAGAAATGCAGGCACATTGACCGATGATCCATCCATCTGAACAATTTAAGAACAAGAAAACAATGACAATTAGTGATGATGATGGAAAATTATTTTCTTTTTTATATAAAGAAAACCAAGAGAAATCATCTGTTCAATAGATGGCGTTGATCTTTCATGTCCAATTAATGATTAGATAGAAAAATTTTTTTTGTAGAAAATGAAAAATTTGTATCATTGGGTGTTGGCTATTTATTCATTTTTAGAGACAATTAGACAAATTTTCAGGGTACTCACCGTTGACATGGTGTCTGAAAGGTCCACAATTACAAAATAATGGTTAACTCAAGTGAAAAGATGATTAATTTTGTTCAATTAACAAATAAGTAAATAGCTTGTAAGTTGATGTGAGAAAAGGTAAACAACTTAGACCCGAATATCGGTTAGGATCCAATTGGGATTGGAATCTTTTTTCTTGATATTCGAATCCAAATTTCCCGAATTCGGTGAAAAGAAATTTAATTTTGTTTTTCTACAATTAATTAGTCTAATTTTTCCTTTATCATAATTAGAAATTAATTAGAGGTTATGAAATGAACCAAATTATTACAAACTGTTAGTTTCATCCAAATGATTGATCCACAATTAGAACTTGAATTTTTTACTTCTATCAAAAATCGAATATTGAAAATTAGAATTAACTTAACTTCCTCATTGATTAAATCTTTCAATTGGAATTCAACAAGTTGATTGTTGATGATAAACTTAATTATTCCTAATCAAATGGTATTAAGATCAAGTTGATTAGTTAAAGACCAAAAGATTAACTTGACTTTTAATTTCCTTTTAATTTCAGTCAATTTGATTTAGAAACTTTTCCACTTTAACTATTACATTTAAAGTGATTTCAAATTGAAACTAAATTTGCTTATCAAAATTTATCTCAATTTAGATTAAATAAAATAGAGAGAGAATTGAATTAATTCTGATAAGTCAAAAATGTGAAAGAAAAATTTTGTTTTTTCGCTGTTTCAAATTTCGCGCAATAGAAAAAAAAAGAAAGAGAAAAAAAGTCTCTTTCTTTTTTCTTCTCACATTTGAGTTGAATGTTTATCTTTGGTTAGAAATGATTTTTTTTATTCCTTTCAATTAACTTATGCAATCAATTTAATAATCAAATTGTGATTTTATTTTCTCATCAATGGTATTGTGATCCTCTAATTAGAGGAGAATCTTGAATTAGTCAAACATGTTCAATGTCGTAAGTGTAATTTGCGTTTGTTTTTTATTCTCTTTTCGTTTTTATGTCCTTGGTGTTTTTTTCTCTCTCATTATTACCATGCCTTTTGCCGGTTTCTCTTTATTAATCTTTTTAATTATTCTCTTATTACATTCTCCAAATTGACAATTTTTAGGTTCGCTATAATCAATTTTGTCGTTACTATCAAACAATCGCCAAACATCAACATCAACACCATCACAATTTAACAAGATCGGTGATTAGTCAACAGAATCAAGTTGATGGATTTACTTATTGTGTACATAAAGTTAGTAATTGTCTCTTTTTTATATTCTAAATTATTCTTGATCATTGTGATTGAAATTTTTTCTCTCTTCTTCTTTATAGAGATATTTATCTTCCTCTGAGAGGAAAGGATTTTTTGGTCAAGTTTTCGACAACATCAAACAAGAGATCGCCAAGAATAAGGAGATGAAGGAAAATATTAAAAAGTTTAGAGAAGAAGCACAAAAATTGGAAGAATCGGAAGCGTTGAAAAAAGCTAGAGAAAAGTTTGTGAGTTGATGATTCTTATTATTCTTTTTTTCGGTTAAATTATCATTCGAAAATTTAACTAATATTTGTACATCTGAACTGATTGAATTTTGTTGTTTGTCTTAATTTTCCAGGAAGCCATTGAAGCAGAAACAACCAAAGGATCTGAGAAAGTTAAAGAACAATTGAAATCGTTGAAAGATAAATTTAAGGAAACAATTGAGGAAGCGAGTAAGACTGACATTGGAAGACAGGGTATTAAAGTTAGCGAGGAATTTGTTAAACAAGCGAAAGCAGCATCGGAACAATTAGCTAAACAAGGACAACAATTAGGAGATGCAACTGCATTTAAAGCTGTAAGTGAAGGTGTAAAGGCGATTAAAGAAGAGGTTGATGATGTAACAGTATCTGGACCTAGAGTTTATCAACCACCTAGAAAATTACGTAAACGAACAGAGCAATTAAACACTGACGACAAACCAATTGAAGCTAACACGTAAGTTTTATAATAACATCCATTGTTAGTTATTAATCCAATGATTAGATAATCAATTTTTTAATTTGATATTTTGTTTATATCAAATATAGGGAAGCGACTGGAGTTGAACTTCATAAAGACTCTAAATGGTACAAAAGCTGGGAAAATTTCAAAGAAAACAATCAATATGTGAACAAAGTTTTCGATTGGAAAATGAAATACGATGAAAGTGACAGTCCAATTGTTCGTGCATCCCGATTGGTTACCGACAAATTGGGTGAAATGTTTGGTGGTGTTTTCCGAAAAACTGAACTATCCGAGGCCTTAACCGAAATCTGTAAGATGGATCCTAACTTTGATAAAGCAGCGTTTTTAAGAGAGTGTGAAGTAGACATAATACCAAATATTTTAGAAGCCATGGTTAGAGGTGATTTAGAGATATTACAAGATTGGTGCCATGAATCGGTAAGCAGTTGAAAGTTGATTTAATTAAATTGCTCTTTTAATTGTATCACATTTCCAATCCTCTTTTTCCATAGGCTTTCAGTAGATTAAAAGTTCCAATTGACACGGCAATCAAATTAGGATATAAAATGGATTCCAAAGTTTTAGATATTTCCCATGTTGATGTAAGTAATTTCTCGTTTGTGATTGAACAAAATGACCATGTTAATTGTTGTTACAAAAATTTTCTTTTCATTTTTTCCATCAGCTTGCTATGGGACAAATTATGGAGCAAGGGCCGGTATTGATTATTACATTTCAAACTCAGCAAATTATGTGTGTTAGAGATGGTTCTGGAAATGTAGTTGAAGGAGATCCAGTAAGTATTGTAGTGAGAAAAAAGTTGATTAGATTAATTGACTTGAAGTGATTAATAATTGATGTTATTCCTTTCTTTTCTGTCTTATTAGAACGCGATTCTTAGATTCCATTATGTTTGGGTATTATGTCGAGATCAAGAAGAGCTTAATCCTAAAGCAGCTTGGCGACTTTTGGATTTATCAGCAAATAGTCAACAACAATGGTTATGATTATGTAGATTTTTGAGTTCTAAAAATATAAAATTAAATGTTCTTTGTAAATTAACAAATGATACTTTTTTCTTGATTGTATTGAAGAAAACCATCATTCGATGTAGTCAAAGTCTTCTGGTAACTCGAATTGACTGTTAAATTGACTTGTTTCCACGTTAAATTTGTTACGGCAGAAATCACGTATAACCTCAATATACTCTGTCCATCGATTGGCTTCATTTTTTAACACTTTTATTTCACCATTGATTTCATCAACATATTCCGGATTGTTGAATTTAACTGAATTCCATTTAGCTTTCAGTTGATCTCTTTCAAGGGTCAATTTGGTTACTTCCAACATTTTACTTTTACGTTCTTCCAAATCATCAGTAGACGTTTTATTTAGCTCCTTTTCCACCTCAATAAGATCACTTTTCAATTTTTCATTTCGTTCATGATCGGTTTTCAATTTTTTCTTCAACGTTTCCGATCTTTTAGAAGAAAAAGCCCAAAAATAAGTAGACGTACCAATCTTATCCGTTTCAATTAGATCATCATCTTGAAGAGCTTTAATAACATCCTTAACAGTTTGAGAAACAATTCCCTTCTCTTTGGGTAAAATTTTCTCCAACTCTTTCAATTGAAAAACACTTTTAGAATTAGAAAGATATTCCAAAGCACGACGAGCCTTCTCATCTTTAGAAAGACCACCTTTCTTACTCATTTCAACCAATTGTATCACCGACACAAATCACAAAACACAAAACAATAAATTCTAATTAAATTAATTACCTTAAAAATACAACAAATTTAATTCTAATTTTAAAAATGAGAAAATTTAATTTTCTTCAAGGAAAAAAAACTCAAGAGAATAAAAAAATTTTCGAAACCCGGCAAACCGAACGGACCAATCAGAGAACAGCGAACCTGCTGCCATCTAGCGAATGGAAACTAACCTACAGTTCGTAATCTTCTTTAAATTAAAAATGAAAAGTAATTAAAAAGATAAAGAGAATAGAAAAAAAAAGGTAATCTCGATTTAGAATTATCTAGAATTAGAAGTTAATTGGACAAAAAGACTCTTTTTGTTGGCATGGAAGAAGAAAATGAGAAAAAAAAGAGGAAAAGAAAATTCGATTTGAAATAATGTAACTTAAATAATGAATTTCGATTTAATTTCAATGATTATCACCTAAAGTTTGAAGTTTCTGTTGAAATGATAAAATCAACCTGTTGACCTTATTTTCAAATGGCCTTGGTGAAGGTTATTTACTCAATGATATCTGAATGAGTGAATCAGTAAATATAAAAGGATGAAGAGAAACTATTATTCATTATGAATAAAGTCATTTCATAATTAATGAGGTTTCCCCAATGAATTAGTAAGATATCACTGAATAAACTATACACCATGAAGTTAGCATGAAAAGTGAGTAGGAATTTAGTTTTTTTCCATCTCCATTCATGTCAGAATTTAACAATCACAGTTAGATAAATAATAATAAGAAGATGAGAGAAGGTTAAGAAAAGTAGAAGAGAATTTTTTTCCAAATCATTTTCACCATGACTCAAGTTTTTCCTTCACAATTTAACAAGTTAATTAATGATTAAGAAAACTCAAAAATTATCAAGGTTAATAAGTTTAATCGAATTAATTAGTTGAAATGATCAAATTTCCGCATTAATTGTTCAAATCAATTTTTCTTTTTCATTTTAAATTTGGCGCCAAAAGAATTTTAATCTTTTCTTTTGTTCATTTTCTCTAATTTTTAATTGTTCATTTCGTTTGTTTATCTCTTCCAATTGAGATTCTCAATTTGAGAAAAGTTATTTTTTATTTTCTCTTTTTGTTCTTTTCTTTTATAGTTACAAAGTTTATCCAGTCACCTTGTTAATCGTAAGGTTATAGGGTTACATATTTTCAGTGTCTTTCTATTCTGATTCCTCTGATTCTCCCTGTAAAGATTGAGGAAAATGAGTAAACAACAACATGATGCAGGGAAGGGGAAGGTAACTAAGCTCTTCTCTCTATCGCTGTTGTGTTAAAACCTCTTATATGCTATCAAGCAACAGAATTTAAGCTTTTGTGTTTACTAGTATATTCTCATAAGAGGATGATGATGATGATGATGATGATGGAAGAAAATTTGTTCAAGGGATGGATTCTCACTTTTTTCTTTCTTTCTCTCTCTCTCTCTCTTTCTTTATTTTCCTAGGTCTTTTTCTTCAGCTCTCTCGTCTTTTGGTTCTTGGATCGAACAGGGAAATAAGGTTTTTCCATCCTCATGCAAAATTCAAACCTCAATCATCTTTACCATCATCATCTTCTCATCTCTTTTTATTTCTACACTTTATCCTCTACCTTTTCTTTTCATCTTCTATGTTTTTCTCTCTTTCTATCTTTTCCTTTTCTATTATATTATTATATTATACTCTTTGGTAAGTTATATATATGTGTTCAAGAGAGAAGAGAAAGAAGAGAGAGAGAGAGAGAGAGAGAGAGAGAGAGAAATGAGTCAAAGTGGAAGAGGATAAGATGAGAAAGAAGATGAAGATGAGAAGGAAAAGAAAAGGTTTGGTCATTAGTATGAGCTACGTTTTCTATTCCAAGTTTTACAGTTCTAGATTCACATTGGAAGGAAAATCTCCCAGAAACAATTTCATCATCATCTCTACCACCTCAACCTCCGCCATTATCATCATCATGATTCTGAATCATCTTCTAAAATGGGTAAAGAAAAATTGTTCATGATTGAGGTAAAAACTCATAACAAGTTGACTCTCTAACAAGATATTAGCTTTTAACATAAACCAACACTAACCACTGATCATCATCTTAATATTATCTTTTTTTTATTAGGTCTATATCATCATCATCATCTCTGATCATTTTGATTGTTTGAACAAACCAAATCAAGGAGGAAAAAAAACTGTAAATCCAATCAGAAATTAAATCTAGAAGATAAAATTACCAATAATCATAATAATATCAAGGTAAGAAAGGTAAACATACATTAGGCTTGTATGTTTATTCAACATCAACATCATCATCAACACAAACACATCAAAGGTTAACCACACAACGCACTGGAGAAACAATTATATCAACAATCAAGCTTTTATTTTCTGCGTCAAATCATCAATCAAAACTAAACCAACTTCTTGATTAGTGTGTTGGAAAAAACTAAAAGAGAGAATGACAATAACGATGACAAAAAAAGACACACAATCAGTCAGGTGATTAATATATTAATGATTACGATGATGATTGTTGACTATGATGGATGGACAATATAAATCTCAAAAGACAAATTGTCAAAGTGTAAAGAAGAAGAGAAAAAATCGAAACAATCAAAATTAAATTGATTCTTGTCTTCCTATGATTAACCTGATTTTCAGCTTCCATTGTGAATTAAGTTTAACAACAAACACCTTGAGATATAATCAATCATGATATTGGATAACAATCATCATCATCATCATCATCATCATCATCATAATCAACAACATCAATATTGTCATCATAAAATGTGAACAACAACAGTGTTTAACAATCAAGTTAAATTGTGACACAATTAACATATAAAATGGTGAAAAATATTAATAGTAAAACTTTCTGGTTGATATTTAATTACAGTAAATGATATTGTTAATTGTCCTACACTCATTTAATATTAACTACAAACAGACACACTCACAATCAATTCATTAACCTAATCAAAAAAGACTTGATCATCATCATAATCAAACATAATCATTTTACAATTAGTTATAAATTATGAAACTAAACTTACAATTATCTTTGTCTAATTATTAGGTAACAATCAAATTGGAATTGCAATTAAATACCTGGGAGTAAAATTAACAATCAACTGGATGGAAAGAGAAGCCAATCACAATTAACGCAACAATCGAATCAAATTAATCTAAAGTAAAAACCAACAATTAACTCTAATAATAATGATGAGAAATTAAATCCATAGATTGACCTTAAAAGATTGGTCAAGTTCACGATATCGATAAAGCAAAATCGGAGAGGTCATTTAAAGTTGAGGATAATAAACTAATCACCATGAGATGACGATGATGGTAATGATAATATCTTTAATTGTCTCGGTTGGTTAAACTCAATGAGAAAGTAATTAATCCAAACAATCAAAACAAAACAAAAAGTTTCGAGGCCAAGGTTAAATTGGTTATTTGGTTTATCAACTAATCTGACAGTTTACCTTACAAATCATGTTGAATGTTAATGATTATCATGATAATTATCATCTTAATATATTAAATTGTTGTTGAAATGATCAAGGAAATAATAAAATTCACTCCCAGGGCGTTGTCATAATGATCATCAACATGATAACAATTAACTAGCATCTGGTTATCATTATGATGATTTACCTTTTCTCATAATGATGATTATAAATGTATATCTATCTGATAGTTGATTGATTGTTGATATTACAATTGTTACCGAAAGCTTTTTCCTCCTTGAATTAGTTTCAACAATTGTTGTTGTTTGGTTAAATTGTTCCGTTCCTGGTTCCTAAAACTGTTAATTGTTGCAATGATTTTCTTGCTTCAATCCATTGATGAAATTTACCTTCTTCTAATGATCCAATGTTATATACATGTAATTAAAAGTCTTAATGTTTTACTAATCATTAACTAGCAAATATTTCAAATGATTAACTATTGATTGTCCTCTTATATTAGAATCTGTTTAATTATTGATCCTCATCATCATCATCATCAGTCTTAAGGTTTTAATTACCATCACAAGTGTTTCCTTTTAATTGTTGTGATTGATTTCAAAATGAATGAAACTTTATCCCGAATATTCAATAATTCAGTTACATGGAGTTTTTTTTCATCGATAATCATGAAAAAGATGATCAAATTTCTCATCTCAAATCATTAAGGTCACTGTTGACTTTTCGTGGTCATCGTTGTGAGTTGGTGCGTGGGTGGACAATCAAATATATAATAATAATTACGATGGAAAAACAAAAAGTAACAATCAACATGATTAAGGAAAAAAAAAACTCCCAACCCAAAGAGATACAAACAATTCAATGTCCATTATATTTTGATTACAAATTGAAATTAATCAAATTGTAACAATGATAAGTTTAATTTTCTCTCTTCTCAAAGTTAATTATGAAAGAAAAAAAAAGTTAACTAATAACAATAATCAATCTAATTACATTTATACCTAACAAACAGTTGATACATAATAATAAATCTTAATCACAATTTAATTCATTACAATTCCTCCCAATGATAACGATAACAATACAATAATAACCTGTCACAATATATATATACAACTTACCCACCACCACCACCACCACCATCACCCACTCCCACTCCCTCAACCCACCCTCTTATATTAATCTTGATATACTAGTTAATTTAATTTGATTAACTTTTAGCCCCTTACAATTACAATTGTATCACAATAATAATACTAATAAAAATAATCATGATAATGATAATGACCAATGTCCAATGAAAACTTTAATCTAATAGTTAATTTGATTGTTAAACAAATAAACAAATTGTATATACATGCATACATATATAAACATAACAATCAAAGAGTTAATTGTTAACAATAGTTAATTATTTTCCATAAATGTATTAATAAATATAAATATAAGTTTTCAATATGAATGAACAAAAAGTTAACCTTATATTGATCATTATATCTTGTTAATAGTAACAATATTTAATCATCAAGGGATGTTGATCATTGATAATTATCATCATTTGTTTCCGTTGATGTCCATTGATACACCATAATGTTATTTATCCTCTTCCTCATCCTCCACCCACCCCACTCTCAATCCCACTCCACCCTCATCCATTTCCTTCCTTCCTCAATCCCACCCTCAATCCCACCTCCAAAAACTTTACTATTTATCATCATTATCATTGTTAGATTATAACATAAGGTTAAGTCAGAATACATTTGATTGTTGTTAGATTGTAATCCTTTGGGATGTTAATCATGTTTCGCGTTGATCATCATCATCATCTTGATTATGATACTGATCATGATGTGATCATCATAAAGCAAGAGTAAATCATTAATCCATTAAATTGATTGTTGAAAAAAAAAACAAACTTTAAAACCAATTGTGTTGATCAATTTTTTTTTTCATTTTCCTTTACAATTTAATACCTTTAACATTGTGAATTTATTTATATTTAACCACATACACAATTACAATCCTAATTGTTACACTTTAATGTTTAACTATCCAATTGTGATTTAAATTGTAATTACAATACAAGACAATATTATACACACTCAATCATAATCAACAACAATTTAAATTGTTCAAGTTTCAACTCAATTCACTTGAGATTAACTTTTAACTTTTTCTGTCACTTGATATTTTTCAATTCAATCATCAATATCATAATGATGGTTAATCAAAGAGTCACAATTAATAATCAAAAAATAACGACAACAATCAAATCCAAGTTAATCCAGTTGATTATCTTGATAATCGTAATAATAATTGGTTAATTGTGTTGAGAAAATCTTGATTATTAGTTTTTTTTTTTGGTTTAATTTTTTTTCCCTCTTGATTATTAATAATTAACTTTGGTTACCTGATTAATATTACATTTAACTATTACTTGGCTTTTGATTTTGATTTTGATTGATTAATAATGCAAATCAAATTGTAATATTGAATAACAATCAACAATTGATTCAAAATATATAAATAATTATGTGTATCTCATTAAATTGCTATTAATTATGTTAACAATTAAAATCTCATTTAAAATGAAACATGAAAAATAACAACAAAAGATAGTTAATTAATTATATTAATGATTAATAAATTAAATTGTTAGTTTGTGAAAACTGATGATTAACTGAAAAGTGTAGATTAGACTGTTAATTAAAGCTCAATTGAAAGTTAACCATTGTTATTATTATTGTTTCAAATCAAAAGAAAAGTTAATTATCACTTATTGTTCAATGAGAATCCAAGTTAATTAATATACAATTAATTAACCAGTGAAAATGTGAAACTAATGGTAGACTTTAATAATTACAGTTATATAATACAAAAAGTAAATTTAAATTGCTACCTGAAAGAAGCAGCAAAAAAAAATAAGTTAACCTGATAATCTGATCTGATTATCATGATTAGAAAACAATTCCAATGAAATCAGATTAATTGTCAAGATACAGAGTCGATTGTTATTATTATCGTTTGTCATAAAATATATTTTTCAACTCACACTCCAAGTCCTATATTCATGATGATGAGGATGAAGATAAAGATGAGAGAGAGAGAGGAAAGTAGGAGGATAAAGTTCATTGTATTCTGGAAGCAAAGTGGAAGATGATGAAGGATCAGGAAGAAGAGAGACAAAAAATGACAGAGAGAGAGAGAGAGAGAGAGAATCTTCATCTTATCATCCTCATCTTCTATAACTGTTCAGTAGTTTTCATCTTCCTCTTTCCCATGTAACAATAACTTTACCCAAAGGTTGAGTGTCTATATGGTCATCAGTTGATTAAGAGCAGTGGGAGGGTGTGGGCAAGTGAAGGATGAAAAGTCAACAAGGTTTCATCTCACTCTTTTAATGAGATAACAATGAGAATGATGAAGATGAAGATGAAGATGATGAGGATGATAACAATGATGATGGTAAATGGCTTTACCATGTTCAAAACTTGATGATTGTCTCAACTAAATTTTCATCATTCTCATTGCATTTACCTCGGTAATTTATATATCATTACATTTAAGGCGAGTACTTTTTTTTATATTATACTTGTGAGTGTCATCTGATTGTCACCGTTGTCATTTATATTACACACTTACTATTTATTATACTGATAAGTTCATTGTTATTATCATGATGATGATGATGATGATGATAATCATGATACTAACTCTTGAATCCTTTGTTGTTGTTGTTGTTGTTTGTCTCTCTCACTTTATTTATTTTTGATTGTTGTTAACTAATGATCATTGTGATTATTACCTTTCACGTTTTAATCACATCATTAACACATCATTTCAAACCATTAACAATAAATATTATTCCCAATCAATAAGCTAACCCTTAAATTAATTAATTACCACCATAAACAACCATTATCATCTAAAGATTCAATATCAATAAGATTCAAGAAAAAAAGTTCTTACATCATCTTAATCAGCTGATTGAATTGATCTAATTCAATCAATCGACTGGAATCATGTTAAACTAATTAAACTATTCAACTTTGTTCAATGAAATAAAAGAAAATTCAACAATTAATTTGATTTTGTTTTTCATCTTCTTCAAAATTCATTCTTAATCATGATGATGATAAATTCTGAAAGGATAAAGTAACCAACCATGTATTTCAAGTTTCCCTTGGTGATTTTACCTGAGTTTTGAACCTGAAACTGGTAGACAGAGACTCACAGAGAGATTGAGATGATGATGAAGATAAAATGGAAAGGGGGTGGTGGTGAAGATGAAGAGGAAGAGGAAGAGAGTGAGAGAGTGGAAACCCTATATCTTAATTGTGATTGGTTAATAATATACAAGGTGAGGTTGTCTTTGGATAAAATGATTCGCATGGGCAATGAAAATGCTCCAGTTAATCTTGTTTCTTATTATCAATATGATTTTGTTTCCCATTGAATAAACAACTAAATGGCAACAATCAAATCAAAACATTAATCAACTAAATTTAGTTTCTTCATCTTCTTTATTTTAACAACAATGACAATTAAACTCACCGTTATTTGGATTTAAACAACAAGCAAAAATAATTAACTTCAATTTTTCAACTTTTTACTTTTCAATTCTGGAGTAAAAATCAAACACAATCAACTCATGGCTTTTAAATTTAATTTGGTTAACAATTAACTGTGGTTAATAATTATGTTTAATGTCATTAATTTGGTTAGTGTCAATAATTAATATATATTCTAATGATTAATTAATTGTTTGTTCATTGATAATTGACTTTCTGTCAACTTGTTACACTTTTGATTGTATCAAATTTAAAATCAACTTTAATCGAGTTCCTTTTTATTTTTAATTGGATTAACCAACTCTGTGTTATGTGAATCTAAATGTCTCACCGAGAATGTGTCCTAAATTGTTTATTCACCATGGCCAATCCCTCTAGTTCAATTGATTGGAATTCATTTAATTACTCACTGCCCACCCCGTCGACAACACCTACAGGTAATGGTTCAACAAACGGTGGCACCAATACCTCAAACAGTGGTAACAATGGAGGGTCAAGAAGTGCAAACGGCGTTTCAAATGGTGCAGGTGGAGGGTCAAATGGAGTCGGAGGTGGTGGTGGTGGTAATAACAATTCTAGTGGTGGAGGAAGTGGTTCAAATGGTGGTAGTCCTGGTGATTATAGTGGTTCACCGGGTGCACCTCAGCCTCCCAATCAACCGCAGCCTCAACCTCATCCAGGGGCTGGTGGTGGTGGAGGAGGAGGAGGAGGTGGTGGTGGGAATTCAGTTAATGGACTTCGTGAGTTGTCATCTCAATGTTCATACAATAATCAAGAAGCTTTTCTAGTTAATGGGATGATACCTGGTTTTCATCATCATCATCATCATCATCATCCTGGCGCTAGTCCAATAACTGCTGCCGCTGCTGCAGCTCATTCAATACAATCACCTTTTCATCCAAATCATCATCATCATCATCCAACGGTACACACACCGAATCATCATCATCACAATCATCATGCCTTTACCACTTCTACTCCACCTCATCATACTCCCAGTGATCCAGGACTTTTAGATGCCGATCCAAGGGAACTCGAAGCTTTTGCCGAAAGGTTCAAACAACGTCGCATTAAACTCGGTGTAACCCAAGCCGATGTGGGCCGAGCACTGGCTAATCTTAAGTTACCCGGAGTGGGATCATTATCACAGAGTACAATTTGTCGGTGAGTAACAGTCAAGATTTCAAACTTTCGACTTAGAACTTTTTTTTTCACTTCTCTCACGTTGTCATGTTACAATTTATATTTCGAGACAAAATCTTTGATATTGTGTTGAAATTTTGCCTGAGGCCATAAGCACAGGTTCACTATTGAGTATGATTGACACATTAATTGTTCAACGATTGATCCAGTTGATTAAACATTTAATTACCAAGGGAGTGATATTGATATGAGATTGTGTATATGTTACATGTTATTAAATTTCAACTAATTTCAAATTTTTTTTCCTCTTCTATCATCAACTTTTTTTCTGATGATCGATCATCATCATTGATGATACTCGATATTTTATCCTCATTTCAACTTTGGATATTTATTAAATGTGAAGATTTGAATCACTAACACTTTCTCACAATAACATGGTTGCCCTAAAGCCGATTCTTCAAGCCTGGCTGGAAGCGGCTGAAGCTCAAGCAAGAAAAGTTCGAAGTCGAGAACCTCAAGATTGTCCAAGTGTTTTACCCTCAAGTGATAAAAAACGCAAACGAACCTCAATAGCCACACCTGAGAAACGCTGTCTCGAAGCTTATTTCACCACTCAACCTCGACCCTCCGGTGAAAAGATCGCAGCGATCGCCGAGAAACTTGACCTTAAAAAGAACGTGGTTCGAGTTTGGTTTTGTAATCAAAGGCAGAAACAAAAGCGTATGAAATATTCAGCAGTAAATGGTAATGGAAACATGACCGGATAAGTTACGAAAAAAAAAGAAACAACAAAAAAGGAAACAAATCCCATCGATCCCAATTCCAAATAACAAATCAAACAAAATTGAGCCAAGAAATCATATCAACTTGATCGTCATCATCATCATCGTCATCATTATCAACAGAATCTCTCCAGAATCATACTCATCCCCTTCCTCATAACCATCAACTCCAAAAGCCCAAACCTGAATCAGAACAAGAATTCAAAACACTAACATGATTCATTCCTAATTCCTGATCATTATGTTTTCGCACCGAAACTCTATCATCTTGACTTTCATCCTCATCCTCACCCTCGTCATCATCATCATCACTAACTCACTCACTCTCTTTGGTACTCTCTCAAAAAAAACCATATCAACTTACCTGTTACTTTACTAGTCACTTCCTATTTCCTTTTCCGCTTCCTACTCATACTAAACTCACCCACTTTCACCCTTCATTATCTCTCTTTCTCTCTCTTTCTGTTTTTTGGATAACAATTAACTCAACAACAGAGGATATTAATTAAAATCAACAATCAACAATCAACTAACTGAGATGTCAAATGTTTCAGAGTGAGGCCGATAATTGGGAAGCCATAAGAACACATTGAAAATTAAAAAAAAAACAAATTAATATACATAACTATAAATACTAATAATATATATATAATATATGTATATGATAACGATCCAGTTTTGTCCGATAACTACAACAATTAATAACAATTAACAAATAACAAACAACTACTACCACTAATTACTCATCAAGACAATTAGACAATTGATATTTAATAATAATATCAAAATACAATAATATACAATAAAAACTCTGGTTTGCCAAAACAAACAAAACTCATTTGATTTCAATTGGATAACTTCAGTCACGATTAATGATAATTATTTATTTTCCTTCCTCAATTAATAACTGATTAAGTTGGAAAGGATTAACTCAGTGGTGAGTAAATTGAATTGAAAGATTATCCATTGAACCGAATTCATATTATTATTAATATTATTTTCATATTCTAAGTATTAGAATCTTTGTTTTCATAAGTCTTCAGAAAATTCTGACTATTCTGAATGTTGCTGGTGATGGAAATGAACTGAGAGCATGCGTTTGAGCAAAAGTTGAAAGTTACATGATAATTCATGGGGAAATTTGGGTTCTTATTGATACGAAAGTGGATAAAGAGGATAAAGTTTCAACGGAAAAGGAGAAACAGATAACATGATGATAATGATGATAAATAATGAGAAGCTGAGAATCTGATGATAAGACTTATGACGAAAAGAGAGAGAGAGATTAGGAAGATGAAGATGAAATTCTTTATCATCTTTTCATCTTCATCCATGTTGTCACAATCTCTATCTCTCTCCCATGTGATATTACATCTTATAGGTAGCATATACTTTTCCATAGGATTTTCCATCCACCGATAACATCACCACGACCACCACCGAGTATCACTCGAGTATAATATTTACTCCCACTTTCTTTCAATCTGATTTTCTATTTACAAAATTGTTCCACTTCTTGTCCAGTTCATCTTGTTATTATTTTTCAATAATCATCTGAGTCTCTCAAAGTTTCATAATCTCTCAACTCCCAACTGGACATTACTTTTTACTTGCTCAAAGGTAAAAAAATCATCAACAATGTTGCAACTTTTACCATTCAAAGTTTATTTGGGTCAGAACCTATAGCCCATCATGAGATTAATATTTCTCCATGAAGTGAGATTAAACTTGGAATCCAAAGTCTATCAAAAATCAGATTGGAGTATTAATATTATGATTAGAACTGAAAAAAAAGAATTCTTCTTCTGAAATTCTCAGAAATCAATCAAATAGAAGAGTCAAAACAAAACAGAAGAAAAAAAATTCGATGTATAAAAGTTTGACTCAAATTCCCAGAGAGAATTCTTTCCGCCGAATCAATCATCATCATCATCATGGAATAGAATTACATTCTCATGAAATAGCCCAGCTTCCATCCACAAAAAACTAACCCTTTTGAACGAATTGTAATGACTGATGATGACGATAATTACCTGATGTAAAATGAGGAGGGAGAAAAATTCGAACAAAAAAAGTCAACAAATATTCATTGTTATCAACACACAAGGATAATGATTATGATTGACTTGAGAGAGAGAGAATGGGAGTGGATTTGTTATATATTATCTCTCATTTTTGATAGTTTTTCCTTGAAATGATGATAAAGGTATGGGAGTATTGATGATGATGATCATCATCATCATCTCTGAATCCACCACAACAAATAAGCAGATGGTAACTGTAACCACGACCCAAGAGCCTTATCCAAGTCTATTAATCTATCAGATGATGATATACACTTCATATCGTTTTTGTTGTTACTTTTTTACCCACTCTCACTTTTCCTCCCTCCAACTCTCATCATACATCATTACTTACTCACTCCTCTGTATCACTCACTCTGCCTCTCTCTCTCTCTCAATTCACTCAATTTGATTAACATCATTCTCCATAGTTAATCAATGTTATAACCTTTTCCTCATAATATTATCATTATTGTCCATTTGTTTTGTTTATAATTTTTGTTCCTCATCAATTTAAACTTTCATCTAATCTCAGGTTAATCTCTCAATTTATTGTTTACTCGATTAATCCATGAGATAATCATTATCATTAGTATCTTGACAATTTACCAAAGGATAGAAGTTGAAAAGATGATAGAGAAGAAGAAAAAAATTCTAACTTTAGGATTTTGATTCTTTTTCTATTTTATTTTTCTTGTTTTCTCATTATCTTTTTAATCCTATTATCATGAGGAGCAGAAAAAAACAACATTCAGATAACATTATCATGATCATCATGTATCAGATTAATTTGATATTCAGATGAAAGTAAAACAGAAAAGCTGAAGTTCCCATTGAGCAAACTCTGCTCATCATCTTGTTTGAATTTGTAATGACATTAATGTTCAAATATATTCAGAGTTTGTATGAACTTCCCCATGTCCAGGGAAACATTTTTTCACCAACAGCCAAAGGTAAACAATGAATGTATTACATTTATGGGTGAAAATAAGGTTCAAGTGAAAAGGGAGATGAAAAATTTAATCCATTTCATGATTATCTTCATTATTATTGTTGATGATTCCGTCCAAATCCATTGATAATGGATTATATTGCCTCAAGGTATCGTATGTATCATCATTATCATCATTATCCCTTCAGGGAATCAGATTGTCATCATCATGATAACGATGATGATGATATAATCAACATGATAATCTAAGTGTATCAAGTTGTATCTCTGAATAAAATGTATTTATAAAAAAAAAGGAAACAAATCTGATTCAATATTAATCCGTAAATACAACAAAATCCGATTGATTTTATATGATAACAAGCTAATTCCCTTGTGATTAGATAATCACAATCAACGACTATAAATTGAAGGTTATATTTTATACTATTATCATGATTTAATTACAATTAATCAGGTTATGATTATGATTATTTGGCCTTAAGGGTTTTGTGATTGTTAAAATGTAACAAGAAAAACTGATCTCAATACTTTTTATTTTTATAACTGTCTCCCTGTTGATGACAATTAATAAATTATCTTGGTGATGAATTAACTGTTAATGATTAGATTAAATTGTTAATGATTTAACTTTGTATTGAAACATTGTTGATATTTGATTGCGTTTTTAACTGTTGATTGTCTGTGTTCATGTTTAGTTAATGATTTACTTTCTAAATTGTTGATTATTACTATTAAAGTGATAAATATAACAATCAACTTGTGTGAAGATGATTATGATTAGTGTTTTTTTTAACCAAAGTGTATCTAAATTGTTCACTCATCTTATATATTTAATGATCATATTGTTGATTATTATTAAGTTAATGATGTTATTTCATAAGTATCTTGATGTTTTCATTCACACACACAAACATACAATTATAATCACAATTAAATTGATCACGTTTTCTGATCATCATAATTATCAAAGGTTCACAAGTTTGTCATCATTAACTATCAATAATATCAAATGTAAAATGATTGATTGATTAATATAAAAGTTATTGATTCATAAATTTGATACACTTTATATTGTTACAATTAAGGTTTAACTGATAATCAAATTTCAATTTTTCTATTAATTTTGTTTTTCTCACCGTAACTTTAATTGTAACAATTTCGTCCATTGATTGACTCGTGTCATTGTTTACTAATTGTAATTGTAATTTTTTTTTTTACTTTTACAATTTACAGATTAAAATCATCATGATTGGGGATCAATTGATTGCCCTCAGGCTATACAGTCAATATTGTTTACTTTTTTGATTATATTGTTCAAGTAATCAAATCAAATCCAATTGTTGGATGAGGTCAGACTGGGTTATCATGATGATGCTGATACATTATTGGTTCATTGATTGATTTCAAGGATATGAATATAATCCTGTTGATTGTGGCAATTGATTGAAATAAATTTGAATAAAATATATTAAACCTGAGAGATAATAATAGTTTATTTTTACTCTGAAAATCAGACTCACAACTTTTTTCATGGTAATTTGTGAATCATATAAAATTGATCAGATGAACTTTCAGATTGTTGAATTGGAAAAATTTTTTTTTTTTCTCTGATTCCATTTCCATATCATTCTGAACAAACTCACATCAATATACATGGATAAACCTTCATGGTGGGTATTCATCATGATCAGATACATTTATCCTGTATTTATTATACCCATGGGAGGGTATTCATTAATCAATTATTAACAATTATTATTACACAGATACAATAATAATAATAATATCAAGATAAACTCAATGAAAGTTTTTATTGGTTTTTTTTTCAATCTAATCATCAACATGATAATCATGATAATACATTAGATTAATGAATTACAATCAAGATAAATAAACAAAAGTATAATAATAAATATAGTTAGTTAGTTAACTAATCAAATGAAATCTTAATATTATCATCACAATTGAATGTGAAATTATCACATCAACATTGGAATACAA